GTAAATTTTTTTTAAATTTCCTGAGGAAGGGTAAGGCTTTCCTTCCACCCCATGATCTGTTCTGTGGAATTTTACTAGGTCTGTTTCAATTATTGGGATGCCCTAAACTACATATAACCAATGATTTCTGGTTATATTTGACCCTTTCAGGGTTTCGGCCATACTAGTACGGCTTACGCACCAGGGTTTTTGACGTACAGTGGACCCCCGCATAACGATGGCATCACATAGCGATTATTTCGCATACCGCTTACTTTAATCGCAAAATTTTTGCCGCGCATACCGATTAAAAACCCGCTCACCGATTTTCGTCCGAGACGCGTCCAATGTGCGCCCTCACCCAGCCTCACATGTGCCGCCCGTGCCATTGTTTACCAGCCAGCCTCCGCGCTAACATCCAAGCATACACTCGGAATATTTCGTATTATTACAGTGTTTTCGGTGGTGTTTCTGGAAAATAAGTGACCATGGGCCCCAAGAAAGCTTCTAGTGCAACCGTACACCAATTAAGGGTAAGAATACCCATTGAAATGAAGAAAGAGATCATTGATAAGTATGAAAGTGGAGTGCGTATTGCCGACCTAGTCAAGTTGTACAAGAAACCCCAATCAACCATCGCTACTATTGTGGGCACCAAAAAGACAATCAAGGAAGCTGTTCTTGCCAAAGGTTTAACTGTGTTTTCGAAACAAAGATCGCAAGTGATGGAAGATGTTGAGAGACTCTTATTGGTGTGGATAAATGAAAAACAGCTAGCAGGAGATAGCGTCTCTCAAGCGATCATATGTGAAAAGGCTAGGAAGTTGCATGAGGATTTAATTAAAAAAATGCCTGCAACTAGTGATGATGTGAGTGAATTAAGGCCAGCAAAGGTTGGTTTGAGAGATTTAAGAAGCGTAGTGGCATCCATAGTGTGATAAGGCATGGTGAGGCTGCCAGTTCGGACCACAAAGCGGCTGAAAAATATGTGCAGGAATTCAAAGAGTATATAGAAACTGAAGGACTGAAACCTGAACAAGTGTTTAATTGTGATGAAACAGGCCTGTTCTGGAAGAAAATGCCAAGCAGGACCTACATTACTCAGGAGGAAAAGGCACTCCCAGGACATAAGCCTATGAAAGACAGGCTTACTCTTCTCATGTGTGCCAATGCTACTGGTGATTGCAAAGTGAAGCCTTTATTAGTGTATCACTCTGAAACTCCCAGAGCATTCAGGCAAAAGAATGTCCTCAAGGATAATTTGTGTGTGCTGTGGAGGGCAAACAGTAAGGCATGGGTCCCTAGGGAATTTTTCTATAACTGGTTACACCATGCATTTGCCCCCAATGTGAAAGATTACCTAACTGAAAAGAAATTAGAACTTAAGTGCCTCCTGGTGTTAGACAATGCCCTGGTCATCCTACAGACGTGGCAGAGCGACTTTATGGGGACATGAGCTTCATTAAGTGAAGTTTTTGCCTCCTAATACCACTCCTCTCCTGCAGCCCATGGACCAGCAGGTTATTTCCAACTTCAAGAAACTGTACACAAAAGCTCTGTTTGAAAGGTGCTTTGTAATGACCTCAGAAACTCAACTGACTCTAAGAGAGTTTTGGAGAGTAGATCACTTTAATATCCTCAATTGTGTAAACCTTATAGGTAAGGCTTGGGAGGAAGTGACTAAGAGGACCTTGTGAACTCTGCTTGGAAGAAACTGTGGCCAGAATGTGTAGACAAAAGGGATTTTGAAGGGTTTGAGGCTAACCCTGAGAATCCTGTGCCAGTTGAGGAATCATTGTGGCATTGGGAAAGTCCTTGGGGTTGGAGGTTAGTGGGGAGGATGTGGAAGAGTTGGTGGAGGAGGACAATGAAGAACTAACCACTGATGAGCTGATAGATCAACTTCAAGAGCAAGAGGCCAGACCTGGGGAAACTGGTTCAGAGGAGGGAGAGAGAGAAATTGAAGAAGTTGCCTACTACAAAGATAAAGGAAATCTGTGCAAAGTGGCTTGAAGTGCAAACCTTCATGGATGAAAATCACCCTCACACAGCTATTGCAAGCCGTGTTGGCACCTGTACACTGACAATGTTGTGAAACACTTTAGGGAAGTGATAAAGGAACGAGAGGTACAGGCCACTATGGACAGATATCTTGTGCGAAAGAAGTCCAGTGACTCTGAAGCTGGCCCTAGTGGCATTAAAAAAAGAAGGGAAGTAACCCCAGAAAAAGGGACTTACTAACCTCAAGTCCTAATGGAAGGGGATTCCCCTTCTAAAACAGTAAGAAGATAATGCTCTCCCCTCCTCCCATCCCATCAATCATCACCAGATCTTCAATAAAAGTAAGTGTCATGTAAGTGTGCATGCCTTTTTCAGTTTGTGTGTATTAAAATTAATATTTCATGTGGTAAAAAAAATTTTTTTTTCATACTTTTGGGTGTCTTGCACGGATTAATTTTATTTCCATTATTTCTTATGGGGAAAATTCATTCACATAACGATTATTTCGCATAACAATTACCCCTCTTGCACGGATTAAAATCGTTAACCGGGGGTCCACTGTACTAGTACGCCTAAATTCTAGTGCCCTCAAATCTAGTGAGAGAAAGCTGGTAGGCCTACGTATGAAAGAATGGGTCTGTGGTCAGTGTGCGCAGTATAAAAAAATCCTGCAGCACACAGTGCGTAATGAGAGAGAAAAAAACTTTGACCGTGTTTTTGGATTAAAACGGTGACTGCACTGTATTTTCGTATGGTATTTATTGTTGTATTCTAGTTTTCCTGGTCTCATTTTATAGAATGGAAGACATATTACAGAAATTGAGATGATTTTGACTGGTTTTTACAATGAAAAGTACCTTGAAATTGAGCTCAAAGTAGCAGAAATGTTCAATTTTTACCAAAGTTCAAAAGTAAACAAATCGTGCTAGGCGTCAACTGGTGAGTCTATATTCTTTCACAAGTGCGCCGATATTGTTTATACCATTTCTACACTAATGCAGTGGTCTGCATAATGGTAAATCTTTTATTTTTTATGAGAATAAAAATTCAAAGCGGAAAGCAAAAGAATGTAAGAGGGGCCTGGGGACGTGACTAATGAACAGAAGAAATGTTATTTTAGTGCCAGGAATTCCGTAAGTTTTCCATCAAATTTCATACTTTTGGTGTCATTATGATCGGGAAAAGATACTATATCTTTTCACAAGAAAAAATAATTTTTTTTTTTTTTGAAATTTGGGCAACCCTAAGAACAAGTCTGGGAGAGGACCTGGGAACCCTGAAAAGGTTAATTATCCAAGAAATAGGGTAAAACTTTATTTTTGTATGTGATGGATTCAAAATGGAGAGCAAGCATTATATAGAAGAGACCTGGGGATGTGATCAATGAACTGAGGATAGGTTGCTATTCTATTTTTAATTGGATTTGGTTGAATTTTATGTAAAATTGGCCAAATTACTTGACTTGGCAGTTTATGGGATAGTTCTGTTAGTTGACTTGTGGGTTTTTTTTTTTTTATGCTCAGTTGATAGAATGGAAAGCATACTTGCAAAATAACCAAGAATTTGATCAAATTGAGCAGTGCAATTCACTTCAAATAGGATGCAGTGGGCAAAATTGCTGATGCAAAAATTGCACTCATTGCCAATTTTCCCTTAAATTTTGAAATTTTTTTTCTTTGTGTCGATACCTTCATAAAAAGATTTTCTCTCACTTCATTTTTTTTTTTTTAAATCCCAACATTGTCAGTACATTTATTTCAGGGATCTTGACAATGAAAGAGTTGCATCATTTCATTCCCAAAGTCATGTTTTGCCTGCACAGCAGAAACATTGCCTTTAAATATTCTCCTCACTCTTGATCATTCTTATCTGTACTCATCCTGAACTCTTGGAGGATGTATGTATATCCACATTTGAAAGTTGTTTTTACAACCCTGTTTAACACCTTTGTTACATTTGCTGGATCAAAGCATTATAAGGCTAATTAAGTGCAGCCATACACAAAACAATGGTGCTGAAACTCATTGTAACACTGGACATAGACTCTGAGCTTGGAGAGGCAGAGTTCTGGTGTAAATTTGAACATTGCAGATGCAATAAACTACTGTACATACATGAAAAGTACATGGAATGAAGCTCCCTAATCAACAATAAATGTAGGTTTGGGAAAATTTTGGCTTAGTGAAAAATTTCAGTCCCCCCCCCCTTCCCAGCCACATCCAGGAAATTGTTCAGCTGGCAGGGAGATTGCCAGACGAGGACTTTGAAATTACGCATCAAGAAGATTGGAAGGAACTTCAACAATGATGAAGAGGAAGAAAGAAGTCCAGAGGAAATGTTGATGGAGCTCAGTTTTTAGTGGGAGACCAGAAAGCGAGATATTTCTGATTGGTAGATTTATAGTGTACACTGAACTGAATACAGTTATAAGTAGTAGCAGTAGTATTTTTTTTTTATCAAAGGACATCAAGGAAAGGAAGTATGTTGAGCTTTCCACTCCATTCACATTTGAAAAGAGAAACAGTGCTCTTCCTTTTTTTGATATCTATACACAGACTCACTACAGTACTAGCAACTCCCTTCAATTTAGTGTGTACCATAAACTCGCCAATCAGAAAGATTTGAGGGTAGCGAGTTCTACAGTATACTACTATTTTTCTGAATAATCACACCAAGCATTAATCTCAGCCATGATCTCATCACTGCCTCCAGCTCATCTCATTCCTGCAACATTTAAAGACTATGCTTCATGCTCATACCAAGTGTTGATACCATATAACCTGATGCATTCCCTATTTTGTCTCCATAGTTTCTTTACACAGATGCTGCAATATAGACCTCTTGCTTTGTCTATTCTTATTCCTCTTTCATACAACTATCTGCCATAACCATCTACTATGTACGTAGTACATAGTACCTTGATTTTTTTCTCACTCACTTGAAGATCATAAAGTTTGTCTTAAGCATGATGACACATTAGCATGTATTAAGCATTAACTGATACATTTTAATATTTGCAGGCTGCAGCAAGACCCGCCTGCTGGAGTAAGTGCTGCTCCAACAGAGAACAACATTATGATCTGGAATGCAGTTATCTTTGGGTAAGAGTTTCCACTTAATTGTCTGTTTTCTAAATTAAAAATTATATTTATTCAAGTATAGCTTGTACACAAGGTGACCCCTGGATTTGTGAAGGACCTGCCTAATATGGGCCAACAGGCCTATTGCAGTGTTCCTCCCATCTTATGTTATGTAAAAGCTTTTTAGTTTTTCTTGTCTCGTGTAGAAAACTGCCTTAGTTTTTGAGGGACTGCAGATCAACATTGAAGAAGTACTGTACATTGTGTTAGTATTATGTTTTGTGTAAAGTGAAGCCTTCAAATCTAATGTTTTCTTAGATTTGTTATATATTTTTTTTTTATATTTTTATTTAAGGACACAGTATACAATCTACATGTTATACATCAAACTTAACAAAAAAACCTCAACACTGAGAAAAAACAAGCCTAACTAGGAATGAAACAGAAGAACCTACACCTGAGCATTCCTTAACAAAAAAAGCTACATAACAAAACCTGTTACACTTATGCATATTTTGTACAAAACTTTATATACAAAACATTAAGTATACACCAAAACATTTCTCATACAATTATTTTGTATAGTAACATATTATGTACATAGATTCTCGAAAACTAAAACCTCCTGACAATGTTTTCGAGGAGACTAAATCATACTCCCCACACCCCACATCCCATATAACCCAAATACACATTATAATGAACTTTGCATACTCTAGAATAAATGATAAATAAGAAAAAATTTTCTAAGATGTGTGCCTCCTCCCATCACCCACCAGGTACACAGTATGAACAGGTGAAATATACCCTTAATCCGTGTGTATATACGTTCCTACCTCATTAACTTCCCAACAGGAAGGCATACTGAATAGGGCAATGTATAATGCCCACTCTTGTACACAGAACATCTAACATTGACAAAGTTAAATATACAGGAAATACATGAGCCTGATGCACCTCGCCCGTACTACAGTTGTTAAATAGGATAGGAATCCTAACAATTGTCTCTGGGGCAACAAAAACAAACCCCGCATCTTTTACATCACAAATAATTCTTCGCTCATTATTTCCTAAAAAATTTTGTTTGGTCCGTCTTTGAAAAGTATCGAAAGGACGCCTTGGCAAACCCACAGAATCAAGAAAATCTTACCAAAAACCTCCACCTCTCTTACAGAAGCCCCATTTCAATAACCGATCACCCCACCCCCACACACACTCTCACACAGACACACACACCACACGCACACACCACACGCACACACCACACGCACACACCACACGCACACACCACACGCACACCACACGCACACACCACACGCACACACCACACGCACACACCACACGCACACACCACACGTACACACCACGCGCACACACCACGCGCACACACCACGCGCACACACCACACGCACACACCACAGCACACCACACGCACACGCCACACGCACACACCACACGCAACAACACACACACTCACACACACACACACACACACACACTCACACACACACTCACACACACACTCACACACACACACACTCACACACACACACACTCACACACACTCACACTCACACACACTCAACACAACACACACTCAACACACATCAACACACACTCAACATACACTCACACACACTCAACACACACACTCAAACACACACACACACACACACACACACACACACACACACCACACACACACACACACACACACACACACACACACTCAACACACACACACACACACAACACACACACACACACCACACACACTCAACACCACACACACACACTCAACACACACACACACACACTCAACACACACAACACACACACACACACTCAACACACACACACACACACACATACACACAACACACCCCACACACACACACACACACTCAACACACACACACCACACACACACACTCAACACACACACACACCACTCAACACAACACACACACACACACACACTCAACACACACACACTCAACACACACACACTCAACACACACACACTCAACACACACACACTCAACACACACACACTCAACACACACACACCACACACACACACACACACAACACACACACACACACACACACTCAACACTCACACACACACAACTCAAACACACACACCACACACACTCAAACACACACTCACACACTCAACACACACACTCACACACTCAACACACACTCACACACTCAACACACACACACACTCACTCACACACACACACACACACACACACACACACACACACACACACACACACACACACACACACACACACACACACACACTCAACACACACACTCAACACACACACCAACACACACACACACTCAACACACACACACACACTCAACACACACACACACTCACACACACACACACACTCACACACCACACTCAACACACACACACACTCACACACACACACTCAACACACACACACACTCAACACACACACACACACACACCATCACACTCAAACACACACACTCAACACACACACACACACACCACACACACACACACACACACACACACACACACACACACACCACACACACACACACACTCACTCACACACTCACACACTCAACACACACACACAGACAGGCCTTACATCAAGTTATCTCACATACACCACTGGAGCATCCACCATCTCTTCTCTTCCTTACTACAATCATCTCCAAGTACTCATCACTCACCTCGGAAGCCAACCCCTTGCTGCCTTTCCCCGGCACCAACTGTAGTAGTCATGCCACAGTCAGTCCCCGATAACTCTCCGGAAAAAGAGCAACCCACTGACCCCCATATAAGCTCCTATTCCTACCCACCGACCTATAAAAACTCGCCGCTAAGGCCTTAATCCTGACATTACCCCCCACCTCCCTCATTCCCCAAGAAACATACAAAAAATCAACCATTATATACCTTAACGCCCTCGCTACCTCATTAGATACTCCTCCCACGTCTAAAAGTAAAGCCCTAAGGACCCCCACCCTTCCCCCTTCCAATAATCCAAAAACAACCCTCAACCACACCCTTACATTTTCCTAAAAAGGACAAAAGTACACCACATGGAAAGCATTTTCCACGTCGCCACAATGCACACACGAAGCATCACTCACATATCCCATCTGCCTCAACACCTGTTTTGACGCTAATGTCCCCATGAGGAGTCTGTAGACCACTTCTCTCACCCTTGCTGGCATTCCTAGCTTTCGAAATTCCTCCCATATTACCCTCCAATTAGTATATGTGGGGAAGACAGCCACCCCTTGCAGCGTCTCCCGATGATACTCTACTCCCACCAGCCTCCCTATTCGCAAATGACGCACATCTCGCACTCTTAACATATACCTCAACATATCCTCACACACCTCCAGGTCCCTCCCACTCCACCAACAACGTAAGTCCCGCATCACCTCCCCCACACGCCGCCCCCAGACCCCCCCGCACTGAGGTATCTCACCTTGACGTATATTGCCCTCACCCTGGGCCCCAATGCCAACAAACCCAATCCCCCTTGACGCACCCCAGTCATTACTACATCACGTCCCAACCACGCCCTCCCATAACCCCATATATACCTTAATACCCTCCTCTGTATGTCTGTTACATCACAATTTCTCAAGGAATATACTGCTGCCGCTCCCCAAACCTTATTGTATACCAACGAATTCACAATCACAGCCCTTTGGTGCAACGTAACATCTCTGGCCCAAAGGCCACGTAGCCTACCCACTGCCCTGTCCCTAACTGCCTCTGAATTAATCTTTCTACTTTCCTGCCTGTCCGCTGTGTACCAAATCCCACAAATCTTAATCCGTTCTACTACATTCCATCTAAACCCCTGGCCCAATCTCCCGCCTACCCAGGTGCCCACCTCTAACAACATCGACTTGCTTTTGTTTACCCTCATTCCTGTTACGGCCCCAAACTTCTCGATGACTCTACCCACCCTTGAAAAATCCTCCCTTCCACTAAGTAAGATCATCGTATCATCAACGTAACCCACAATCCCCCCGTCATTCCCCTCAACCCCCTCCCCACACAACTCTCGGTCTACAAGCTCATAAAATGGGTTCTGAACGCAAGCAAATAATAGCTGTGAAAGTGGGCAACCCTGCCGCAAACCCCTCTCCATACGAATCCCAGAACCCAACCTACCGTTCACCTGCACACGCATGATCGCCCCCACATACAATGCATCCACCCACCCTACCACCCTGGCACCAAAACCCAAATCACACAAACACTCACGCAAAAACACCCTGTCCACACAATCATACGCATTCTCCCAATCAACCCCTAGAAACCCCCCCCTCCACAGCCCTCTAAGAAATCCCTTATGCGCCCGTGTCCATCCCGCATACTCCTCCCTGGAATCCCAAACTGACCTCTGTGTAAAAGTGCTCCGAGAACTGCCTTCATTCTATTCCCTAGAATCTTTGTGAATACCTTATAGTCTGCGCACATTAAGGAAATTGCCCGGAAAGCACTCAGTGCCCGCGCCCCTTCCTTCATTGGTACTAATACTACTATGCCTGTACGTTGTGACTCGCCCATTCTCTTTCCATCTAGCATATTTTTCAAAACCCCAACTAAACAATGCCTCATGCACCCCCAATGAGCCCTATGAAAGTCAATAGGCAAACCGTCAATGCCTGGCGCCTTACCCATATTCATGCTGAAGACCGCATCTGCCACCTCTGCCTCACTAATATCAGCCTCCAACCCCACCCTATCCTTTTCTCCTATAGCCTTATGAACCCCCCTACCGAAAGACGCCTGCCAGGCGCCCTGCCTCCCACCCTCTCTCCATTTTCTCCTGAGCCATTCACCTGCATAAATGCTCATACTCTCAGTGGAGATGAGGACCTCACCTTCTGCAATAACTTGGTCACTCTCCTACGCTCCCTAAACTTACGCAGCACATACCCAGTCGGTTTATCCCCCCACAACACATAGTCCAACCCTGAACGAAAACGTATCA